CAGCTGTCTCGGTTACATGCATATCTACTTACTACAAAGAGAAATTTAGCTGAGCATTTTAAATCAACCCATCGCTCCACTTCCAATCCCACGTAATCTCTTCCCTCTACCCCTGCAGCCCACTGTCTCAGATCCTTCCTACCTTCTGTTTTGATTTCATGCCGGTTGTCCAAGGATACATGCTATCTGAGGACTTATTTTTCAAATACTGATTCCTTTAAAGAGATGCAGATTAGATAAACTGTGCCTTACAGGCATGAAAGCATAGTCAGAGGTATTTATCACACTGTAATTACTACTAGCCAAACCACTATTTAAATTAATTAGCTCTGCTCATAAGAGCACATCCAAGTAAACAGACTCCTTAGAGTAATACAAGGCTGCAAAGATTTTTTTTTTCTAGCACTCATGATTTTCACTCAACACAGATTTCCATAATCAAAAGTATCTGTTTGTACTTAATGAGATAAGAGAGAAGGAAGATCTCTGTCCTTCCAGGTAATCTAAGAATTTTTTCCCTAAAATTACTGAAGTCACAATTCTAAAAACTGTTATGCCTATCAACTCATGTCATCAATATGATTAGTAAGAGTCTGAATGGGATTTATCTGAATCCCATTGCCAAAGACAAAAAACTAGAAGTCAATCAGACCTTTATGCAGTACATCTGCCGAGATCACAGAATATACTGGGGGGAGGGGAGGGATGAAACGGTACATTTTCCTGTGAAAACTGCTGACCACCATCCTGAGTATTCTGTAATTGGGACAGAATCTTGATTAACTCGAAACGATACATCCCCAGTGGAACTGACTGAAGCCCAGTATGACTACAAACACGGCAAAGACATTCTGTGCTGCAACAGGGAAAAACCTAAGATCTTCACAGACTTCCAGGAAAATAAACAAGGCACAGGATGAAAAACAGGCTCATCTCATCTACCAATGGAGGGTATCCAACAGTTTCAAGTCTCCTTTTCTAATTCAGGACAGATACTGAAGCCACTATCTTCCACATCCAGAAAGAAATATAAATCACCTAGCTATTTTGTCTACCCTTGATAGATAGGTGACATGCGTTCACTTGTTTCTCTGCCTTCCTCAATTTTGCCCATGTGGACCCACAGAAGGTCTTTCTTTCCTGCCAAAAAAGCTGTTCTATTCAGAACTTTCCCTTAATAAGCACTTATTCTTTGTCAAAAACCTCCATCACAATGCTCCCAACCAGCTACAGAATTCTGATGAAGAAGGAAGTCACCTGGTGACATTGTAAGAGAAAAGTATCTTCAAGTTGTATTAACAACCTAGCACCTATTTTAGCTGCAAACAAAAGTCAAAGATCTTGAACTTTTAAAGACCATGAATAAATGAAAAGGAGAAAAAAATTAAGAAAGCTAACTCATGAAACAACTGAGTTGCTTTCACCCTTAACATCAATCTGGAGACAGAACCCAAGAATCTATACCGAGTGTTTTTCATGTGTTCTCAATGGATACATTCTGTTCTTTCCAGATTATACTTTCTTCTCCCCAAAGGGAAGATTAAAATACTTGCACCTCACTATCTGTCGGGGTTTGTGTTGGTTGTTTTTTGGTTTTTTTTTAAGAGAAAAATCATGTTTTAATTTGAAATAGTGTGCTCTGCAAATTTTCTCTGATTTAACACTCAATGCAGATTCATAATCCAGGATCATTTCTCAGTAAATTATTCTTGTAGCCGGTCCTTTACAAAATTGGCAGAGGCAAGAAGCTGAAGCTGAGCAATTTTGCTTCTGTCTGTTCTTTGTCATCTTTCCTTCTCTTTCAGCATCAGCATCTTTTCTTCTTTTCCATCCCCTTTGAGATAGCGCACTGATGTGATTCCCTTCCTGAGGTCCTATTATATCATACCACACAGTGCTCAACAGTACTCAAACTCACTTTGTCTGCATTACTTGTGCCTTCTTTACAAGGGCGTAGATACATACCTCCTAAACTGTCAAGATCTTCAAGTATCCTTCCAAACCTGTAAGATAGGTTTTTTTGACAATTAAATACCTACATCCATAGTAAATGAAAGTTAACACTTACCTGTATGCGTAACACGGTTGCTTTGTTACCTTACACTGTTGTGTACGTTCAGGTACTTTTCTCTTATTTCAGGTTGACTTCCTAGAGGCAGAATAACTTCCAAGTAGCTATCCTTCATTCTCCTAGGAGGGAGATCTTCCTGCCGTTTTGCCAGTAAAGTATGAAGAGCTTTTCTTTCTTGCATTGCTTGCACATGATCCCTGGTAAGAAAAAAAACACTCTGTCTCAAGTATGACAACAGAACTGCAACCCTAGCTAAAAGATGTCACACTGAAGATTATCAAAATGGAAACAAAAAAGTAGTAAAAATAGCAAGACACAGTAAGCGTGCCTTGAAAAGAAAGTGAAATGCATATAATGAGATATGCTAAGCAAGACTACTGCAGAAAACTTTTAAATAGTTTTGTGTACAAGTGGCAAGCACATATTTTGCACTAACAAGATGAACAAAATTTATCTAATTCTGAATGCTACCAAAATGGTTCCCCTTGAAAAGAACAAATCAGACATAATTAAACCTATGAGGTTTTGTGCATATTCATGTCTTCCATAGCTACTGTATCACAACTCTTCCTACAGTGCCAATTTTAAAGGACTGACTGTCAACTTACAATCTCTCCCAAGAAGTAAAGCAGATGTATAGTGTTGGTTAGTACTAACAACAGAGAGAACTAATCTGCTAAGACTTGCTATCATCCACAGGTGACTTCTCCCTTTACAGTGTCAGTTCATACAGCATACACTTGATCAGCAAGCTAGAAGAAAGGGAAAATTAATCTATTTCTCTCTCTCTCTTCCTACCCAGTCATCTTACAACTGTACGGGAAAGTTACAGAAAGAAACAATACAGAAAAGGGAGCACTACCCCTTCAGAGCTGCTTTTCCAGCACCACCAAGTCAAAGGGGTTGCAACTCTCACAAGGCAGTAAGAGCCAACTTACTGTCACTTCTTTCCAATCTACCAACTTGGTTCCTTGCACAGGTATCTACGAGATGAAACAGTCTTGCCCAACATTCGCTCTTACCTGTTCCTCCAAAGTTCCCTCCCCTTAAAAGTGCAACCTGACTGAATAAAGCAAGTATTTCATAACATCCCTAGAATCAACAACAAAGCATTAAAAACCTAAGGGTTAAACATGCAACAGTTCCAGTATAAAGCCAAGGAGTATGCAAGACTATGAATCCATTTCATAAAGCAAGAGAAGGCATAAAACACTAAGTAACCAAACTTAATTTTAAACTTGTGGATATGTGCCATTCATTCAGTTGTGCATGCTGCATTGCTGAGATCTGAGTGCCATTGTGTTTAATAAAACCAATTTTTAAAAAACTTAGAGAAAACAACAGAAAGAACCTTTTCACCAAAAAGAAAATTTGTCTTAAGTTTTGACTTTGGATGAATTCTGGGCATTAACCATTTAAGATGAAGACTTTTTTGGCTTGAGGTTTTTTTTGGAAGAGGAGAGGCACAAAGCAGTCACGCTTCAACATATTTATATTCCCTCTTTTCTGTTTAATAATTTTGGGGGAAATAAGAATAATCCATGATCAAAGAGAGTAAAAGTCTAGCAGAAAATTTCAGTTAGTTTTGTTTGTTTGTTTTAAATATGAAATACGGTTTACCTCATCTGGGCAACGTGACTACTGCAGAGTTCAGAGAAAATAGAAAGGTAACAACCTCCTCCAGAGTGTTAATGTTTGAAGTTATGCCACTGCATAGAAATGAAACATACTAGATGACTAAGGAAAGATGTATGTCCAAGATGATGCACCTTTATGCTTTTTAAAAGATTTGTTTCCAAGGTCTTTCAGTGAAAGGTTTAAGAGAAATTAATCAGAGAGTAAATCAGAAATTTGTCTACAAACACAGAGAAACCAAACAACAAAAATTTAACTATATTCTGTTTTCACCAGTCCCATCCTGGCTCCTCCGAGATCAGCAGCAGAACTCTTCTTGACTTCAGCTTCAGAACGCACTCTTCAATATACGGAAGTATTAGGCTCAAGGCAGTAACATTTTTCAACAGATAAATACTCTTACACACTGCAGTACCGGTCATACAGTAACAATACTTCATCTAAGTATTAACTAATACCTGCCCTAAACATTCTGAGAAATGACATTATTTACTTCTGAAATGGCCACAACTCTATCTAGACTATAATTAGCAATGAACAGATTAATAATTTTAATTACAATTTAAGTATAAAACCAGAATAAATACATAAGCAAGATATTTCTTTCTAATACAAAATGCCACTGGCCTTTACAAGAGAAATCATGAACCAAAGTTTCCTTTTAGCAAAATTAACAGCCAAAGGCGTTCCTCCAACATGCATCTCTCCCCTCTCCCAGCAATGCAGATGTATGCACATCAGTCCTTCCCTAGTTCCCATTTCGGGACCCCTATCAAGCTATTCTCTTAGGTTTGTCCTCTTTAGTCATTCTGTGGTCTAACTCGATTAAAGCACTGGCTGTTCAGTCTCCACATGTATCAACTCTTTGTCACTCCATTTTAAAAGTGGGATCTCAAAGGCTACATGATCCATGGCCTCCAAACCTCCCTATATTAAATCCGCCATTCTCAAGCACTCCCAGTTATGGGCTCCCCGGCTTTACTTCTTCATGGTAGTTGAAGCACACAGTACTCTGCAAACCATGTCTGCTGTATTTTATACAGCACAAGAGACGCACCTATCTAAGAAAAACACTGCTGTGGTGATCCTGGCTTCAGTCTGCTCTCCTTCCAGAGCGGGGGCAGTGGGGGAAAAGAAACGGACGGAAGATCAGATTTGACCAGAGCCCTCTCAAATCTCGATCCTCGGATGGTATTTCCCTATGGTGTGGTTCTTCCCCAGCCATTCTGGGCTGCAGGAAAGGCTTTTTTAAAAATCAAATTCTAGAGCCCTTTTCAGCTGACCTACCAAAAATTTCAAGTCCCCTCATGCTTACATACTAGTATTACTAAGCAAAAATCAGCTTCCCAGATTGAGGCATCTTCTTTAGCGTGCCTATAATCCTGTTTAGACAAACCTAGTCAGAAGGCCTGGACATCAGACACTCCATCCAGACAGGCCTCTCCGTTTCCCCATCAGTGCACAAAGTGTGAAACAAGAGCTCAGCAAACACAGCCATAAGGAAATCAACAATCAATACAATAAATATGGGACCAACCAAACAGCAATATGTAATTTCCCCAGACTGCTATACTGACTTATTCAGAATTGTTAACAGTAGAGGATTACAGTCAACTCTGGCTTATTCGACATAATGGAGCGGGAGGAAGGTAACCTGAATAAAGCCAAAACATCAATGATTTAAACCGTATGTAAATTAACCTAAAATTAATTTATAGCCGAGAAAAGAAATACCCGAGATGCTCCTGACTAAGGAGACACAGACCTCAAGCTGACAATTTTCCAAAGTGACATGGGTGCTGCCAGGCCATTCATAACGCAGCCTGCTTCATGCTGAACCAGCTCAGTTGCCTCTGAATCCAGTGCAGGACAAGTCCACCGTGTGGGTAATCCACCAACAGGTAAGTCAAGAGGTAACAGCAACATAACATTTCAAGTCAGACTCTACAGCTCTTAAACTTCCATCAGATTCAAAGCTAATGGGAGAATCTTTTAAGCCTCAAGATCATGTATTTTGTTCCTTTGGTGCTAAAGATCTTCTGCAAGAGAAATCTCAGAAGTCTGTGACCCACAAAGTAACAATTCAGAAACCTTGTTTGCATTACTTTTTAGCTTGGATCTTTTTTCTTCCCCAGTCAGCAAGCTAACATCGTTAACTTCCACTACGACAACCCTGAGCTCTCCCCGGGTTTCACAGATAAATTAAAATACATTTAATGTACACTGTACCTCCAGTTGGTAGATGCTCCCACTATATCCCTCAATCTGCTCCGCACTGGAAAAAAAAAAAATCAAAGCAAATCAAGCTTAGTTCTGCAGGTGATGAACATGAGGTTGCCTGGTGCTAAAAGGCACAACCCTCATCCCAGAACAGGAAAATTAAGCAAATTCATGCAAATAGCAGCCCAGAAACAGAAGTTTGGCCAAATTCGCTGATGCTGTTAGTAGGCATATCACAATAATGGGTTGAGTAACATGATTCTGTAGCTTACTGTGTACAGCCAACAAAGAATGCATCTTGAGCATTTGTTAATGCAATCGAACACCGGCAATGCTAATTAACAACTGAAAGAGACAGCAGATCAAGATCAGATTGAGAAATTTTGATGTGAAAATATTTCAGCCTCAACACAAACAAACCGTGGAAATAACAAAAATCAGAAAGTCATAAAAGAACGTAGAAAGGAACGGTGCAGCTGGGAGACAGGGAATGAGGAGAGTACTTTTTAAATAATCCCACCCATGAAGGGCAGGTAGTGTCAGCCGATTGCCTGTTGCCAGCAGGGTCTCATAGCCTAAAGTTTTAGCAGCCTCAAAGAACACAGTGTTAAGACACTGGAGACAGGCCTATAAAATTGCTTCTGACACCGTCTGCACTATCAGAGTTAATGCTAGCTCTGCACAAGTTCTTCCTAAATTTCAGAAATAATCTGCATAAGCAGTTTTTCTACTCCTTCCTTGGATGAGGCTATTAAGTGTGCTAAGGTCCCATCAAATCTATCAAACTACTCTTATCACTATTAGGCAGGTGAACGTATGCTATCTGGAAATACCTGAAAACAAGCAGCAACAATTCCCAGACTCGGAACAGAAGAAAGCCGAGAACTGGATAGTAGGGATTCCTTGCTTATTTACAAAGATTTTTATACAAGGGGGTTCAAATATTAGGACAAAATAGCTAGGGACAGACCAAGGAACGGCTACCAAAAAAACCCCAAATTTTACGGTGAAACAGAAAAAGGGCTGCTGGTGACTCACAAGCTGATCCTTTTTACTTTTAGGTTATGAGACATCATCAGGCTTGGCACATTCCAAACTAAATGCCCGGTCAGAGCATTCACAGTGATCAGCAAGCTGTCCTGTGAACCCTGGAGTAAGCAGAGCTTGATTTCCTAGGTATTTAAATCATATACCCCTCCCTCAGCCAGATCCACCTGGCTCTGCCCCTCTCCTCCCCATATAGTCACTTCAGTTTCTGCTGCTTTCCTGCCCGAGTCCCCACACCTCCACCACTGCAATACCCCTAACCTACCCTTTCTTGCTCCTTCCCCTGCAAGACCTTCAGCTTCAGACACCCCCAGCCTGCTTCTGTGTTGCCTGCCCCCTAGACAAGCACCAGCACGAGCTGTGGTTAAGCCTGGAGCTACGCAAGGCTGACTGCCAGCCAGCACATAGATTCCAGTCACTCGCCAACTGCCAGCAAACACCATGGTCCGTGCCTGATGCCAGCGCCAGCTCTGGCACCCTAATGAACCTCTGATTCACGAGCCAATTTTCACAAAGCATGTGGAAACACGTTTCTCTTCGAGATTTGTGCTCATCTGTTTTGGCTAACATCAAGCAACAAAAGGCTCTGGAAGAAGAGGGGGACAAGAAGATAGGCAGACAAAGACAAAATAGCTTGCTTAGGCCTCGTTTCTTTAGGAAATTAGGCTAAAACATGTTTTGAAATTAGAAGAGTTCCACTACTAATTCTGAGAACAAAAAAAATTTCAGCGAAAGCAACTGATTGAAAATCTTAGAGTTGAGGGGGTTTTTTTTCGGAAGGGGGAAGGGTCTGATTCTTTTTTTTTTTTTTTAAGAAGCAGCGGGCTTGTTCACAGAATAGGTACTACTTTCCTGTTACTCACACCCCACCTGTGAAGCTGCCATAGCATGCATCCAACCAATACAGTGTTAGCAGAAATACCGTTACAGCTTCTAGAACACAAAACCTCAATTTTCCAACAGCGTCCACTCTGTGCTGGGATGGAGGGGGAATAAACAGCACTTTCTCTTTGTTTAAACTAGGTTTCTCTTCCCTTTCAACTCTAAAGAGGTAAAAAGCTCTGAAAAAAATCTCGGGTCCAAACCTGCAAACATGTATATACACTGTTAGTCCCATTCAATACTTCTGATTTCCATTTTAGACATACGAGTAAACATTTGCCCAGCTGAGACCACGTAATTTTTATTTTAACAATAAAAGGACAAAGCATAAAGTGTTTCTAAAATTTTGCCAAACTAAATCTAGTCCATTTTATAGGCTCCTAAGTACATAATTTGTCTCTTTTTTCACTGGGAAAACTATATTGCTCTTCCAGATATTAATTATTTTACAACAGAAATTCGAATAAGTAATTAAGCATAAGAATCCATAAACTCTCTTTTCTCAGTTGGGAAATGTCTTAGGCGTGCAAAACAACCACAGCAAATGGGTTTTATCCATCATTACCACATTGCGTATTTCACAGTATCTCCTAAACTGTGGTCAGTGGATCACTAATGCCAGAGCAGCAGGGCCTGAGTTTATTTGCACCGTGCTGTGACGAAGGACACGGGGGCAGCTGGACAAGGTCACTGCATTCACCTCTGCCAATGAGATCCATGCCCCCTTGTGCTGGTGCCTCCCCAGGCCGCATCCAGGTTCAGGTAGACCGCTAGGATGTATTTTACCACCAGTTTTGGTATAGAGCTTGGTCTGGACTTCAGTGAAAGACACAGATTCAAATGTCTAACATGAAGCTAAGCACTGCAGGAGTTGCTGTGTAAGAGATTTTGTATCCCACAAGCCTCTTAGAAACGTGTTATCCAGCACGCCACCAGAAATACAGTGTGCTGACAGAGATCCAGTACAACAATATTGCCACAAATAAGATCAGAGCCATTCACTGAAGGCAAAGGGGCTTTAAGCAAGTCGACAGAAAAGAAGAATAGCATTTCCTTTTTCATGAATGCTGAAGTAAGGAAAAACAGTAGCTGAGTAAGTTTAGAGTTATAGCAAATACTAAAATATGTATAGACTACCGCAACACACCATTATTCACGTGAATGGGTAAGTCACCTGTGGAGTGGAAAACACAGGTTAGATTAACAATTTTTAAAAAATGCAAATTACATCTATTAAGGGGTTACCCGATTATTCTACCTGCTTGAGTACCATTTACACACACGTTCCTTAATTTTAGTAAGCAACTGTAGGCAACCTGTCCTTGCCTGATTTACAGTCAGTATCTCTGTGTTTCCAACTGAGTTCGTCCTCTCCTTCAAAGCCAGCTTTCCAGTTCCTTTGTCTACTGGCTCTGTGCAGCATCTGCTTGCAGTGTAATTCCAATCTGTTTTTCAAACTTGGTGCTACCATGACAAACGCTATTAACTTTGGAAAGAATAGCTGGGGCATTTTTCAGGAAGCGGCATGAGAGTTATCTCAGAGGAAACGTCCAAAGTCCTGCTTGGTGTAGCCTTTGGGAGAGCCATGGGAGAAGTGAGGGCATTCACAACTGGGACCCAAAGTTGGGAGGAAGCATGTGAAAAGCTAGAAAGAATAAGTATTTGCTGGTTTGTGAAAGCATGGATACCAAATTAAAGGAAACTAGTTTACATATCAGCAAAAGTTTGCATAACATTATTTAAATGTTAAAATTTTGGAACAGAATCTCAAATATTTATAGTTATTATAGCCCAAAAAATATTAGTATTCCTTGGAAACAAATCAGAGGCAAGGCCAGGATGGCCTCACTTCTTCACTATTTTTACTGGCCTTCTAGGTGGTATCGTTATCAAATATCCAAATAAAAGAGCAGTGTAATATTTGCAAGTATGCAATATTCTGTATCCTTGCTTCTCCCCTTTAACCTCCCAAATTACTATTTATTAACAATAATGAAAAAAGTTCTCTAACAACGAATAACCCTCCTTTTCTTTTACTGGATAACCTGTGGTTTCTATTTAGAGAACAAAGGGGAAAAGAAGATCTCAGAAACAAGCCTCCACGAAGGAATTATTTGTGCCTGGCTCTAGCCCTTTTCCTCCTTCCCTTTTCTCAGTACATGGGATTAGAATGCAAGAAAACTTTTTTAAAAGCTTCTGAAAGAGGAACATTATGGTTTATTACTATTAGAGCGCTAAAACAATCTTTCAACACAAAGCTCTATTGACAAGAGCATTTTCACGAGGCAATGCTGCTGATCTGATTAAAAGATTTCTCTATGTTTACGAAATGAATGGTATTGACACATTAGAAGTTCTGTAAGACATTATTTCCACTCAGTTCCTCCATTTCTTGGCCATTCTCTCCAGTCACCATAGTACCTGTCTGTACTGTGTTGACTTCCTATCTAGAGCCAACTTGAGAAGCAGTTGTCCCTCCAGAAAAGAATCACACTCTCTCTTCCAAGACTAAAGAACCAGACGAGCCCCTAAATCTGCAACTTCAATGATTATGCATATTTGTTGCCATTGATCTCCAAACACACACAGTGATTTTCTGCTACTTCCTAAACTCACTATGAGCTAACTGTCAAGGGCATGTCCATTATCCAAACCATATCAACACATGAAGGGCCACCACCTGAAAGAATAAACTCCTTAGAAACATTTCTGAATCTTCCAAAGTACAGCCAATTTTTTTACCTTCAGACATGTCAGGAAGTACTGAGGAGCCACTGGTCCCAGAAGTGAGTGTCCTAGCCAGAACAGAAGGAAGCTTCCTCATGGTGCACAACCTATAGGCAGAGCGGAAGAATTTAGTGTCATTAAAACTAATGCCATGGAAATAATTTAGGATTTATTTTTGGAATGGCGCCGATTACTTCAGAAACCCCACTCCTTATTTTTAGCCTGACTTTTAGAACCAGATACAATCCGTACAACAGTTCAAGCCAGCTGAAATTCCAGCTGATACCTGTCCTTATCTGAAAACAGGAAGGAAGAATGATTCACTGATGGTAATTGTTCTCTTCACTGACTATTCAGATGCCCTGAGACAACCAGCTTAGACCAAACAGCAGCTTCTACCCTGTAGACAACCTAACACAGACGGGGTCCGTGTGCATCTGGGAAATCATCCGTGACCCTAACCATACGCTTCTCCTGCACTTGGCTGGTGCGCATAGCGGTGGAAGGTGGAATATCCCAAGAAGGATATCACAAGGCCTCCCACACAGTCCCATTCTAGCTAAGCCTGGTATTCTCCTCCATGGCTTGTACTACTGCAACTCAGAACAAGCCTGAAGTGCAGGATATAATCCTCTTAGCTGTTCAGCAAGAAGGGACAACCACGAAACCCTTCGAGAGAATGTAATCTGCCCAGCAATTCAGTAAGTGTTCAACCAAGTGTTCAGCAGTCGCCACTGCGACTCCTCCAGGCAAGCAAAACTGTGGGAACGCAAAAATACACAGAGGGTCAGCAGGAGTAAAACCCCTCATGATAGTTCACAGCGTTATCCTGACAAGGAACATGGGTTACCTGTCCCTTAATTTTCTTCAGCTGAGGCGGGGTTTCACCTCAAAAAAAGAAAAAGAGGCAAGTCCCCAAGAACCAGCCGAAAAGCAGGGCCACGCACACATCTCTATATACATTATCCCTCACGTACATATCTACACATACACATCATGTACACACAAGCTTCCTTTGCCTGCAGGTATACCAGGATTAGTTAAGAGAGTAAAAGGGGACACACACACACAAAAAAAACCCCAGAAGCCAGCAGAGTCTCTTTTGCACCAGAGGTGACACCAACGGCAATGGCGAAAACTCTCTATAACTGATGCAGCTTCTGGACTCAACTCGCGTCTCGCGGCACCGCCAGCAAACGGCTTCCCGCTCGACCCAGCCTGCACCCCCGCAGGGTCTCACCAAGCTTGCTGCCATTCAGGGGCTCTGAGCGAGGTGACAGGCGCTCCCCACACAGACGGGCCAGCACGGGCGAGGCCAGACGCCGTCACTCCAAGCCGCGCTGCCAGCGGCGCTGCTGGAAGTTTTAGGGGACCGCGCCCTGACAGCGCC